TGTGGTACCAGGGCTTGAACTTGGGGCCTACTCCTTGAGCCACTCCACCAGCCCTTTTTTGTGAAGCGTTTTTTTGAGATAAGGTTTCTCAAGCTATTTGCCCTGGGCTTGCTTGAATCAAAATCCTCCTGATCTCTGCCTCCTAAGTAGACAGGATTACAGGCGTGAGCCACCAGTGCCCAGCTCAACAGCATTTTTTATAGGAAGTCCTAGCTCTTTAAAATTTCCCAGACAGAGCCAAGTATGGTGGCATGCAATTTCTATAATCCCAGCACTTGGAAAGTAGAGGTAGGAGGATCAGAAGTTTGAGGCCAGCCTGGGGCTGGCAACAAACAATCTACATGAAGTCTACACATATATGATAAATAATATGTATATACACATATAAAATAAAATTTCCCAAACAGATCACTTCAGTGGGTTCCTACAACCCTCCAGGATCGTGTCCTGATCATCTGCCCAGGGAAGAGCAGCCTTGGCTGCTGAGAGGTCCTCCCCTCCCCCAGTCCAATCAAAAGCAAATACTCACTGCACACTTTTGGAAGCGTCGGCAACGGACACAGTGCTGTCATGGCTGACCCAGGCCAGGCGGCTCCCACTGGCAGAGAAGCTCACCCCGTGGACCCAGCCACCAGTGCCACTGCCACCAAACTCTGACATCAGCTGACCGAAAGGCATCTTGCTGCCCCAGGGTGTGCTGGCTGGTTTTTCATCCACCTCCTTAATGTAGGCAGAAAACACTCTGCAGTTGGCAGGGTAGGGAGAGAGAAGAAGTAAAGGGAAATGCTTGTATACAGAAACTGACCACAGACACCTACCTAGAAAACGCAGAAGGTGGCCAGAAACAGAACAGGACAGGATGTCCAAGTTCAGGTACACAAACCTCTGGAGACCCAGAATGGCCAACAGGTAATTCAAGTCTGGCAAATTTCTACTCAATCCACAGACAGTCTACAGAGGCCTACGGGTGCCAGGCTCAGGTATGCATTGTGAGGTCACGAACCCAATGCCTGTCCCTCGTGGACAGCACATTCTAGGGAGGACTTGTCAATTTCCTGCGGTGCCCAAGGCAGACCCTGCTAAATGACCATAGCACTCTGTTCTGGCTACCTCAATATCATTCTCAATGCAGAGAACTCCAAGAAGCCCACCCACCCAGGCAATTAAGGGAGGTAACCATTTGTCATCCACCACAAGACAATGGTGACACCCACTGAAAAGAGAGACACCCAAGAAAGCCACAGGAGGCCACTGAGCAAGAGAGGACTGGTACCAGTGTGGATGGCAATGGGCTGGCCCCCGGGCCTCAGATCTGGTTTTTTTTTGTTGTTTTTTCAGCAGTGCTGGAGTTTGAACTCAGGGTCTCACACTTGCTAGGCAGGAGCTCTACCACTTGAGTCACTCCCCAGCCTTAAGCTGTGTTTTGTTAACCCTAGGTTCGCTCTGGAATTTTCAGAGTCTGCTGCCTGCAATATGAGATGAGGAAGACTATGCAGTCAAGAAAACCACGCTGGGCTGCGGGCGGGACTCTTGTAGTAGAGCAAGGCCCAGGGTTCCGTCCCTTGTGCTGCAGAATAAATAAATAAAGATTAAAAAGAGGGAGACATAGCTGGGTATGGCAGAGAATGTCTGTAATCCCAGCACTCAGGAGGTTGAGGCAGGAGGATCCTGAGTTCTAAGCCAGACTGAGCAAAGTTAGCAAGACCTTGTCTGAAAAAAAAATTAACACAGAGACAAATTGAGAGGAAGGGAGAGACAGGCAGACAGGCACATATTCTAAGAAGACTCTCCTGCCTCCTTTGCATCTCCCTCCACCCCAAGTCCACTTCCACCTACTCAGGGGCTCATATACCTGTTTTGTTTCATTTTTCCCAATGGGACTGGGATTTGAACTCTACCACTTGAGCCATACCTCCAGTCCATTTTCCTCTGGTTACTTTAGAGTCGGGGTCTTGAGAACTATTGGCTCAGATGGCCTCAAACCATGATCTCAGCCGCTCAAGCAGCAGGGATTACAAGCGTGAGCCACCAGTGCCTGGTTCTCACTTACTTGTCTAATTGCTGAGCCCTACACTTGCTCCTTTCCTAGATCACAAGCTCCTTTTATCTCTGAGGGTCTCCTGGTACCTGCACAGACCCTTGCAAAGGAACAGCTCGAGTCTACCAACCATCACTTGTTCCCACCTGCACTTGAAGTCACAGGACCCCGCGGCCAGGAGCACATTGTTGGGGTGCCAGTCCAGGCTGAGCACTGTGGAGCGGATCGGCTTCTTGATGTGCTTGCTCACCCACCTGCCACATGAGGAAAACGGAGTTTAGCCACACAGCAGGGCTCATCCCCAAGCGGCCTACAGATGCGTGCCAGGTGGGAACATCTCTGCGTCTCTGAAGAACAGGCAAGGGCTGGACATTCTGGGACCACCCCATGGGATTTCAGACCACATGTGATGTTGACCTTGGGATAAAAGTGAAGGCCAAAACTACTTGAATCTTTATTACAAATATCAGGAGGCCAAGCATGGTGGTGCACACCTGCAATCCCAACCACATGACAGGAGGAAATAGGAGGATCTTGGTTTAGGGTCAGCCCAGGCAAAAAGTTAGTAAGGCCTGTCTCCCAATCTCAACCAACGAGTTGGACATGGTGGCAAACACTTGTAATCCCAGCTACACAGGAGGCATAGGGAGGATTGCAGTCTGGCCCCAGGCAAAAATGCAAGACCTTATCTGAAAAGTGAAAGCAGAAAAACCTGGGGGCACGGCTCACACTGTAGAACATCTGTCCAGCAGGTAGAAGGCCCTCAGTTCAAACCCCCGTATCACCAAAAAGAAAAATTCAGCTGTTTGTTATTCATTGTGGGTTAACTTTGGGTTGTAAACTTAATTGCCTTTACGAATCTCCATGAAGCTATAAATCTCTTTTTTTTCCACAGAAAAATCCCAACCAAGAAATTAAAAGAGGCTGTTTTTGAGAGTTAGCCTCTAACTAATTCTCTAACACCATTAAAAAAGATTATTCATGGAAAAGATCAGTTGTTAGCCAGGCACTGGTGGTTCACGCCTGTAATCTGAGCCACTCAGGAGACAGAGATCAGAAGGAACACAGTTCCAAGCCAGCCCAGACAAATAGTTCTCCAGACCCTATCTCAAAAAAACTGAACACAAAACAGGGCTGGTGGAGTGGCTCAAACAGTAAGAGTGCCTGCCTAGCAAGTGTAAGTAAATCCCAGTGCTGCCAAGAAAAAAAAAAAAGATCAGTTATTATTGTGGATTAAGTACTTCAATTTTTGTCCTGAAACTGCAGTCAGGCATGGTGGTGTGCGCCTATAATTCCAGCACTCAGAAGACTGAGGCAGGAGGGTCTCAAGTTCAAAGCCAGCCTGTGTTATATATCAAGATCAAGACCATTCTGAGCTATATAGCAAGAGCCTGTCTCAGTGGTAGACACTTTGCCCACCATGCACCAGGGCCCTGGGTTCCATCCCCAGCACCACACACAATTAAAAAAAAAAAAAAAATTAAAAACTAAAAAGAAAAAAAAAAGGATTAAAATCAGTTATCATTTTGGCTTACCTAATTCTCAATTTTTATCCTGAAACTTCTGTTTAAAAACAAATCATAGAGCTGGTGGAATGGTTCAAGTGGTAGAGTGCCTGTCTGGCAAGCATGGGTCCCCAAGTTCAATCCCCAGAACTGTCAAAAAAACCATGTCTAGCTCAAGAGTCAAGAGACTTAATACTGAGCCAGATGCTTCTGTACAAATGCTAAATTACTTTTCTACAGAGTCCTTCCTGGAAACCTATCTGAAAAACTTCATCCTGAAAAAGGCAATACTCTGTTTCAGTGCAGTTTTTCTGTTCAGTGAAGGCAGACAGTGCCAGGCAATCACAAGTAATTCGTGTGACTTCTACAGGTTCCGCCATCACACCAACGAGCTGTTTTAACAGGCAAGAACTGCTCTGAAAGCGCAACTTGTGCAAAGACCACCTTGTCCCACGGTCAAGTCCAACTTACTTGTATTTGAGAGCATCAAGCAGAGAATAAAAACGTGAGCAATTACTGTGCTAAAGTTTAGGTAGGAGAAAGAGTTTCCTGTACAAATGAGGCAGTTAAAGTCAACAAGGGACCCTGACATACAATCCCACCATGCAGAATGAGTACGAAGATGTTCCTTTTTCTTCCATTCAGTTATGAACCTTCCTGATGATGTTTGGTGGGCACCATTTTGTTAGTCTTATTTTTACATGTCCTTCCTTTCTTCTCACTGTTTCCACAAAACACAGACAGTATGACTACAAACAGTGATGTGTACTGTGCTATTTTTAGCAGAAATGCTCACACGGCCAGTTCACACTAAATGACACTTCTACATTGGAAGATCTTTTCCACCCAATCCACATGTGTGCCAGGGCGAAGAGAGTTGTTTTCCTATCAAAAGAAGCAGGAAAGGGTTGTTGCAATTACTTATTTTAGCCAGAAAACTAACCTTTGTATATTTTTTCGTTGGAGCTGGACTAGGAGTTGAACTCAAGGTTCTGTACTTGCAAGGTAGATGCTCAGCACTTGAGCCACACCCCCAGCCCTTTTGGCCTGGTTATTTTAGATATGAGGACTTGAGAATCCTTTGCCTGGGCTGGCCTTGAACTGTGATCCTCCCTATCTCAGCCTCCCAAGTGGCTGGGATTACAGACGTGAGCACTGGCTCCTGGCCCCAAATAGTTTAAATGAATGGACATAGTGAGAAAAACCCATCCCTCTGGGCACTGAGACTTTGGAGTTTATGATTTACCTAGGGAAATAAGAAAACAGCAGTGTGGACAGCACAGAGCAGAACAGACAGGAGATAAGAATTGAAAATGACAGTTCTAGATTAATGAGAGGAAGAGGTGAGGCCTGACTCAATGTCACATGGAGACAAGACATGCTCAGAGCACAGAGAATCCAGGGGAAAGTTCACAACTCCAGAGGAGGACAATCTGGAGTGGGAGGCAAGCGTCACACAATGCCTCAAGTCACCCACCAAGCACACAGGGGTCCGGGTATAAATGCTACAGAGAGAAAGAGAAGGCCCCATGTTGCTCACCAGTCATTTTCAGACTCAAAGTAACAAACAGAAATGAGGCGGGCTCCACTTCCCACAGCAAATTTGTTCTCGAGGGGGGACCACTTGACAAAGGTGGCTGCGCGGTTAATCCTCAGTATCACCAGGGTGGGTTTCCAAACACCATCTTTCTGACTCCACACGTAGGCATTACGGTCTGCCCCGCAAGTGACGATGCGGTCACTCTTGGGGGCCCAATCAATGCCTGCAAGAGAGACGAGGGTCAGTGACAGGCGACTCTGATCTGAGCAGGTGAGGAGAGGACTGTCTTGGCGGGACCATACGCTGTCCACCTACAGGCCAGATCACAACCTTACAGTAAGACAAGGATGTTTCCTGAAGGAGGCCAGGTGTAACTGAGCTGGGCTTGTTTTGTTTTGTTTTGTTTTACTATGTAGCTCAGGCTGGTCTCAAACTCAAAATCCTCCTGCCTCATCCTCCCAAGTGCAAGTACTGGGATTACAGGCATGCACCACCACACCTGGCTTTATTCTCTCTTATTCTTTTTTTTGCAGTACTGGGGCTTGAACTCAGGGTCTACACCTTGAGCCACTCCACCAGCCCTTTTTTGTGTTGGGTTTTTTGAGGTAGGATTTCTGGAACTATTTGTCCAGGCTGGGTTTGAAACTTAATCCTCCTGATCTCTGCCTCATGAGTAGCTAGGATTACAAGTGTGAGCCACTGGTGCGCCCGGCTCATTTTCTTTTTCTTTTCTTTTCTTTTTTTTTTTTTTGAGTCACAGTTTCCATAAGCAGCCCAAGCTGGCCTTGAACTCAGTCCTCCTGCTCAAGCCTCCCGAGTGCTGGAAATAAATACCCTAGGCAGGCACTCTACTGCCAGCTCCCAAATACCTTTCCTACATGATGCAGGCATTGTGCAAGAGCCCTGGAGTTTCCGAAACTCCTATCTGCACGTATGGCTTCTTTCTCTTTTCCTTTTTCTCTCGGTGATGGGGATGAAACCCAGGGCCTGGCACACACAAGTATGTGCTCTGCCACTGAACCTGTCCCCACCCTGTACTTTTCTTACTGGAGATAACTTTTACTTATCCTGTACCTCTGTGAAGGGACCCAAGGTAAATGTCAGGTTGCTGCACACCAGGTTACTGTGATGGAATCATTTTTTTATTTATTGAGGGGTGTTTTCTATACACAGAACTGCACACTGAAAAGTACAGAAATATTAATCCTAAGTGGCATTCCTAACAGTTATATGGAAAAAAGTAAAGAGAAATATAAACCAGAACCTCACTCAGTTCTCAGTCAGTGACTGTCATGGCAGGCAATTTACCTGTTCACCTACATGAACAGTCAGCTCATGTTTTAACACTGCAGAGAAAAAAATGTGGGGGCTGTATTGTAAGCGATGTGACTTCTGGTTTTAAATCCATTTCAGGATAATTTTGCAGTCCTCTTTATTAGACTTTATTTTTTAAAAAAAAAAGTGATACCCACACATCATTATGGCAAAACATCATAAGGAGCCAGGCAATGGTGACTCATGCCTGCAATCCCAGCTACTCAGAAGGCAGAGATCAGAAGGATCATGGTTCAAAGCCAGCCTAGGCAAATAGTTCGTGAGACCCCCATCTTGAAAAAAACCCATCACAAAAAAGAGCTGGAGGAGTGGCTCAAGGTGTAGGCTCTGAGTCTCAAGGTGTAGGCTCTGAGTTCAAGCCCCAGTACTGCTCCCTCCCCCAAAAAATCCATTTGAAGCTGGACACCAGTGGCTCATGCCTGTAATCCTAGCTAGTCAGGAGGCAGAGATCAGGAGGATTGAAGCCAGCCTGGACAAATACTTCGAGAGACCCTATCTTGAAAAACCTTTGACAAAAATAGGACTGGTGGAGTGGCTCAAGGTGAAGGCCCTGAACTCAAATCCCAGTACTGCCCCTTCCCCAAAAATATCCATTTGATTTTCTATAATCATTTTTCAAAGTGGGAGCAATCAAATATTCAATATTGAAGAGGAAACTCAGAGAAAATACCACAGAGCTCAGCTTGTTATCCTTTGATGGTCAATTCTTTGAAACACGGACTAGTCTTTCCTTCTAGAAGGCTTCAAAAGCCTTATTTTTGCCTGTAGTTACTCTCTTTCTGAGAAAATATATCTGAAACTTGATCTATCAGTTATATTTAGACTTTTCCAATGAGTTTTGTTTTTTGTTTTTCTAATCTAAAAACTGCTATTGGCCCAAGTTCAAAGGACCCACCCCCCCCCCTCACCCTGCCACAGAAAAAGAAGTGGAAAGAAAAAGGTCGTAAATATTTCACATTTTTGGCTATTTTTGAAGTCTTTCATCTTGTCCCTTTCTCATTTAAAAGTATTTTCTAACGCTAAATTTCCAACTTATGATATGAATGTCCTGAATCTTAAGCACAAGGCCCCTGGCAAAGGGACTTAAATGAAAACAGGCCAACCCTAGTAGAAATGAGGGTGGCCGTGGGAAAGCAGCAGCACCAGAAATGGAAGGGTGACTCTGGTGCAACCGTGCTTGTGTACTTGGCTCCTGGTGCTATGAAGCGCCACGTAGAAATCTTATAGCTAAAGCAAGAAAGCAAGTCCCACTTGCCACTGAGTCATGTCCCTAGCCCAAAAGTAAGCTTTCATCTTCCCATCAGAGTTGTTCAAAGCCAGTGGCTGAATCAAGTACTTGGCCAGGAACAGGACAAAAAGGAATGATAAAGGTGAAGATCCAAGAAAAAGTGTTCTCTCTTAATGGTTGAGTAAGTACAAATAGTTTTTAAAAATAGCCAGACATGACCTAAAGCAATAAACTCTGAAATCTGGCATTGAAAATTGGTTTACTAAATTCTGGAGTCCACCATAAAAAGTTTACATTTTTACCTCTTACTCCTCCTTCTCCTTTGATACTTGCTTAATAAAACTCAGCACTGCTCTGCTTGCCACCTCTATCCATCTTTTCCTTAATACCTTTGGTCAAAGACAAGCTATCATATGCCAGGTACGGTAGTACACAGCTATAATCCCAGCACCTGAGAGGTGGAGGCAGGAAGATCATGAGTTTGAGGTCAGCTTGAACTACACAGAGTCCCCCAACCAGCCTGGGCAAAACAAAAACCAAACCCAACCAAACACAAATCAAAACCAAACAAATTTCATGCACACTCAGGAACCTGCATAAACCACATTATAAAATCCAGTCTTCTACAATTCAACAAGAAAAGCACAGAAACCCAATGGGAAATGGCCACAGCTGGTAGAAGTGGTTCATGCCTATAATCCTAGCTACATGGGAGGCTGAGATCAGGAGGATCATGGTTTGAGGCCAGTTCTGGCAAATAGTACTTGAGACCCCATCTCCAAAATCACCAGAGCAAAATGAACTAGAGGAGTAGCTCCAGCAGTACAGCATCTGCTTTATAAGCATGAAGCCCTGAGTTCAAACCTCAGTCCCACAAAAGAAAAAAAAAAAAAAGAAAAAAGATTATTTCCTAATACAGGAAAACTTGTTAGTTGTGATAGCAAATAATGAGATATGGTGTTTGTTATATTACTCTTGTTTCTTTTCAGTATTTTAGAAAGTCTTCCTGGCCCCAAACACAACACAAAGGAAACTTCTGGAAGCCACTCTTCCCGCAGCACCAGAAGCACAGCTTGGCTCAAGCTTTCATGCTGTCTGATTTTTCACACAGACTCCATTTCTTTTTTTGGCAGTACTGGGCTTTGAACTCAGGGCCTCCTGCTTGCCAGGCAGGCGCTCTATCACTTGAGCCATGCCCTCAGCATACAGAGCACATTTTTTGCTGGCCTACGTCCTCTCCAAGTCCTCGGAGCAGGTTCAGCGTTTTCCATATACTAGAAGCGCCCATCAGGGGAGGATGTTATTATGGTGCTTTCCACAATAAAACTCAAGCTGGGCCCCAGTGCTCACGTCTGTAATCCTAGCTACTTGGATCGCGGTTCCAAGCCAGCCCTGGCAAATAGTTCTGTGAGAACCTATCTCAAAAAAACCCTTCACAAAAAGGGCTGGTGGAGTGACTCAAGGTGTAGGCCCTGAGTTCAAACCCCAGTACTGTCAAAATAAAATAAAATTCAGCACATACCTCCCAGCTTGCAATGTGATGGCCCACTGACTTCCTGGGGTCCTTGTGTCACTGACACAGAGTCCGCCCCAGCCGCAGCCCCTCACCTGTAATGTGCCCATTGTGCTCCTTGAGTTCGTGCGCCTTCACCCACTGGCTCCCATTCCTCTTGTAGATGTGCACTTCGTGGTTGTTGGGGCTCAGGGCGATCTCTGCAGAAAGAAGTCAGGCCTTAATCATTAATGCCTGCTCTTGAGAGTGTCACCAGAGAGAGGGATGTCACATTGGCATTTGGCAAAGAGAGAATAGGAAAGCTGGTTCAAACAAAGTGGGTCTCAAATTCACCCCTGAAGAATTCCTTTCATTAGTATTACTATTGTGTGTGTGTGTGTGTATGTGTTTGGTAATACCAGGGTTTGAACCCAGGACCTCATATCTGCTAGGCAGGAGCTCTACCACTTGAGCCACTCCACCAGCCCTTTTTCATGATGGGTTTTTTGAGAAGGGTCTCTTTAACTATTTGCACAAGGCTGGCTTCAAACCACGATGTTTCTGATCTCTATCTCCTGAGTAGCTGGGATTACGGCCATGAGATGCTGGCAACTGGCTAGACACTATATTTTAAAAAGTTTGACAGGAAAACTAAATTTAAATTTTCATTTTTCCAGAGGCAGATACAACTGTCAACTAATCAGCAAGCAATAGTTAGCTGAAATAATTTTAGCTGACAGCAAAAATGTTTGAAATTTTAGTTCACTTGTATTCCTAGCTACTCAGGAGACAGAGAATAGGAGGATCTCAATTTGAGGCCAGCCACGGCAAACAGTTGGCAAGACCCTATCGTGAAAAAACCCAACACAAAACAGGGCAGTGGAGTGGCTCAAGTGGTAAAGCACCTTCCTAGCAAGTGTGAGGCCCTGAGTTCAAACCTCAGTGCCACCAAAAAAAAAAAAAAAACAAAAAACGATGCTCTTTAAGCAACATGCTCAGAACAGGCAAATCCTCAGGGATAAAAAAATAAATTAGCAGTAAGTAGCCTAGGCTGAGGGATTTGGGGCAAACCGAGTGACTGCTATGGGCACAGAGTTTCTTTCTGGGTTGATGTAAATACAGGTTGGCCATTCATTATCTGAAATGCTTGTGGCCAGGAGTGCAGACCTCAGAGATTTTGGGGTTTTGGAACATTTGCACAGACTTTACCAGCCATACACCTTCAATCCAAAAATGGAAGACAGCTCTAAAAACTAGAGTATTTTGAGTGTCACATCGGTGCTCAAGAGTTTCGATTTCCAGGCCTGTCAACTGCTGATTTTCGGGTTAAGGATGCTCAACCTGTATTCTGAAATTACACACAAATGACTGGTGCCTAACGCTATGAATATATTAAATCCTGCTCAAATGCACACTTTAAAAGGGTGAATTTTATGTCTTTTCACATGACCCTGAAACAAGCGAGCCCTAAAAATGTCTAAAGCTGAAATGTTTCAAAGGTGTCAAGAAAAAAAGCAGCAGCGTGACTAGCAACTTACGGGTTCGATCCCTGTTCCAGGCATGGCATGTGATTGGCTCCAGTAAAAACTGATGCAGGGACATGGCTCTCAGTGCTCTTGAAGAATAAAAAGCTGCAACAGACAAAGCAAGCAGAAGTAAGGGCAGGTATCCGATGCTTAAGATGTCTGAGCATCCTGACAAATCTGGGGACAAATTCAGCATTGTTCTCATGCAAAAGAATAAGCCTCAGCCAGGCACTGGTGGCTCACGCCTGTAATTACAGCTACCCAGGAGGCAGAGATCAGGAGGGTCAAGGTTCGAAGCCAACCTGGGCAAATGGTCCTCAAGACCCTATCTTGAAAACACCTTCACGAAAAAGGGCTGGTGGAGTGGCTCAAGTTGTAGGTCCCAAATTCAAACCCCAATACGCAAAAAATAAATAAAATTTTAAAATGTTGAAACTAATCTTTTTTATTTTATTTCCTTATTTACTTATTTATTTTTCTGGTACTGGGGTTTGAACTCAGGGCCTATACCTTGAGCCACTCCACCAGCTCTTTCTTGTGTTGGGTATTTCTGAAATAAGGTTTCGAGAACTATTTGCTTGTACTGGCTTCAAACCTCAATCCTCCTGATCTCTGTCTCCTGAGTAGCTGGGATTACAGGCCTGAGCACCAGCGCCTGGCCAGTAAATGCTTTTTTATTCTTGATAAATATTACCTTTACCCCCAGTTTTATCTTTTTTAAAAAAAAGTTCAGATTTTGTGTGTGTGTGTATGTGTGTCAAATTACAAACTTAAGCACATCAAGCTACTTTTCAGTTTTCAAGAAATAAAGAGGAGAGGAATTAGTCAATTAACACAAGAAGGAAATGAACAGCTAAAACCACACATCCTGAATAATTCAAAAAGTCAACATGGGAGGAGGAATTTAAAAAGCTATGAAAACCAAATTCCGTTATTAAAGTTGATTATAATCTATGTTTTAAAAATAACCATAAAAAACCAGGTGTTGTATTATACGCCTGTAATCCCAGCTACTCAGGAGGCAGACCAGGAGGATCATGGTCCAAGGCCAGCCCAGGCAAAAAGTTAGAGAGCCCCCCAATGTCAACAAATGAGGCAAGCGCAGTGGCAGGAGCCTGTGGTAGGAGGATTAAGGTCCAGCCCCAGGGCAAAAACCCAAGACCCTATCTCAAAAATAAGTAAGAAGCAGGCTGGAGGCTAGGCTCAAGTGCTGGAGTGCGGGCCTGGCAAGCGCAGGGTCCTGAGCCAAACCCCAGTGCCACCAAAGAGAAATCAAGAAAAAAAAAAAAGCAAGAGGTTTTTTCGGGGTTTTGTTTGCAGTGCTGAGGATGGACCAAGGCCTTGCACATTCTGGGCAAGCGCTCTACCACCGAGCCACATCCCAGCCCAGCCCAGCTGCTGCACTGTGAGACAAAGTTGAATTTGAACTGGATGGTACTACAGAACACTGTGAAATTATTTCCAGCCCCCTGGCTTTGAGAATGGTATTAGAGGAGCCCGTCTCAGTTTTCAGAAGACGATGAAGTGTCTAGAATCAAATGCCACCATGTCTTTTGTGACTTGTTTTCAATTCACACAGAAAGTAAGAATTCGGCAAAGCCTGCTAACCGATGAATCCGATATGCAGGTGCTTACGATATTACTGGTATTTTATATGACTATATGCAAAGCAGACTCTAAGAAACATTAGTAAATTAAAAATCAAATGCCGGGCGCTGGTGGATCATGCCTGTAATCCTAGCTACTCTGGAGGCAGACATCAGGAGATTCAGGGTTTGAGGCCAGTCTGGCCAACAGAAGTTGAGGCCCTGTGTTGAAAGTACCCAACACAAAAAATGGCTGGCAGAGTGGCTCAAGTGGTAAAGCACCTGCCTAGCAAGCGTGAGGCCCTGAGTTCAAACCCCAGTGTTACAATAATAAAATAAAATTCTTGATTTTAAAAGTACCCAAGCCCAGATCCACTGAACTAGCAATCATTACCTGAAGTTGGAGAAAAAAGCCAGCCTCCCTCCACCCCGTTTTGTCATTTCTAAGAGGTGCTCTCACTACAAATGAGTTTCAACACATTTACATGTAAGTCGTGTTAACCTAGGGTGGACACCGAAATGTGTGATAGAAATTCTTTTCTTTTTGAGACAGGGTCTTGAGATCCTCCTGCCCCTGACTCTTTAGTGTTTAATTTGCTTTTTAAAAAGGAAACTTCCAGAAGCTCACTGCGTACTTCTCTTCTTATCTCTGATATCCAATGCACACCCTCCAGGTTGTTCTGTCACAACAGGTATACCCAGAATTACTCAAAGTAACATGTTGTGCCACAAATATCTCTATTTAAAAACAATTTAGGGGCTGGCAAAGTGGCTCAAGTAGTAAAGTGCCTGCTTAGCAAGCGAAAGGCCGAGTTCAAACCCCAGTGTCACAAAAAAAATTGGTTCAAAAGACAAATTTGGTAAGTTCATTTAACTAAATTGGTCAGCCTAATATGATTATATGTAATAAAAGCACACATTTCATGTACAACCAAAAAAGTATAGCTATAGACAAAGGCTTTCTCATTCTTCAACTCAGTTTTTTTTTTTGTGGGACTGGGATTTGAACTCAGCACTTCGCACTTGCAAAGTGGGTGCTCAACTATTTGAGCCACACCTCCAGTCCATTTTGCTCGAGTTATTTTGGAGATGGGGTCTCAGGAACTATTTGCCCAGGCTGGCTTCGATCCTCCTTATCCTCTATCTCAGCCTCTCAAGTAGCTAGGATTACAGGTGTGGGTCACTAGCACCCAACTTCAACTCAGTTTTATAAACAATGTGGAAAAGCTTTCAAAAGAGGTAAACAGTCACACAATGGCGTAATTACTTCTCAGGCTGTGTTTCTAATATTGTTCTGTCACTCGAGTTCTATATTTAAACATACATTCAGACCTGTCCTTCTTTTACAGTCACGGGTTATTTTAACTCTGTAGGCTAAGACGACACTCTTGTGTGTCAAATGTATAATATGCCTAGTAAAGACAGCTGTGTTTATCAATTCACGGACTGCAGCCAGCTGCCAGTGGCTCATGCCTGTAATCGTAGCTACTTGGGAGGCAGAGATCAGCAGAATCACAGTCCAAAGCCAGCCCAGGCTTCGAGAGACCCTATCTCGAAAAAACCCAACACAAAAAGAAGGACTTGTGGAGTGGCTCAAGCAGTAGAGCACCTGCCTAAGCAAGCATGAGGCCCTGTGTTCAAACTCCAGGACCACCAAAAACAAAACAAACAAAAACACCTGGTAACTGCAGGAAAAACTGGTATAAGTCTGAATTTCGTACCAAGAAAACATACTTCCTGACATGGGGTGATGAGTAGATAGGGAGGTTAATATTGAAGTGAAATGTGAAAATCTTTGTCTTATTTAAGGCCAGGAACAAAAAGGTAGTGACATTAAATTTAATATGCTTCCACTTTTTCTAACCCTGAGAGAAATAAAAATGATGAATAGGCAGCATGATACCAGGGACTCTGTCCTCCTCCGTACCTCTCACTGCTACGGGACCTGGGTTTGAATCCTGACTTTGACGCTTACTAGTAAGGAGACCCTGGGGAAGTCACACACTCTGAATCTAATGTATTTCATCTGTAAGGTAAATCAATGGCTGTTGGCGGGAGAATTGAATGAGATAATAGGTGAGCCAGGCTCAGTGGCTCACACCTAATTCTAGCCACTTGGAGGCTGAGATCAGGAGGAATGCAGTATGAGGCCAGCCTAGGCAAACAGTTCGTGAGACCTTCATCTCCAAGTGGAGGTGTGGCTCAAGCAGTAGAGAGCCTGCTTTCAAGTGCAAAGCCTTGAGTTCAAATACCAGTTTCACCAAAAAAAGAAAAAAAAAAAATGAGATGTGTGTAAGCACGCAGCACCCAGCCAGCCTCACACAGATCTCAGCAGGAAGTTAGCTCCCTTCTACCTTTGACCCAAGGCTTTTTTTTTTTCTTTTGTGGTACTGGGGTTTGAACTGAGGGCCTCACAGTTGCTAGGTAAGCGCTCTACTTCTTGAGCCACTTTGAGGGATGACTCAAAGCCAGACTGGTCTTGAACCGCAATCCTCCTGATCTCTGCCTCCTCAGTACTGGGCACCTGACTTGACTCAAGGCTTTTGAACCATCCCTCAAAGTGGCCTCTGAACTTGGAAACATTGGCCTGTCCTCCACTGCAGCTTGAAGGAACTCATCCAAGTGGGGATTTCAGGGCCCTGCTTCAAGTCACTTTTCAAGCCTATGATTCATCTTCTAGTTTCTCTTGCTCAAGCCAGAAACACTACAGGTACTCAAACCAGATCACCACACCCTCCCCACCTTCCACCAGGCTCCAACTCCAGCAGACCATTTTCAACTTCTTCTCCTTTTTTGTTTTTTTTTTGGTGGGACTGGGATTTGAACTCAGGGCTTCATGTTTGCAAAGCAGGTGCTCTACCACTTGAGCTAAGCCTCCAGTTCATTTTCAACTTCTTTATGTACGATTTGCTTTTAGCATAGGATTAGACATTCAGATCAAAATGCTACCACTCTCCTGCTCCAAAGCAGGAGTTATAATTTTCCAAAACGATCCCCGCTCCTTTAATTGTGAACCCCAGAGTGTCCCCAATACTCTATGGTAGGAAGCAAATAGGTCCACCCACTCTCTCACAGGGGCGGGCAAACACATCTTCCTCGTGGATAACCTTTTCCTGATGGAAAACCCATCAACGAAGATAGAACTAAGAGAATTTCAGTAATTTGGCATTGAGCTGAAATAGAAGGCTCCAAAGCAGGGAACAGATGGCTTTATAACCAGACTCGAAAGTACAATTTATTAAGGAGCTATCATGTTCCCAACAGTGTTAGAAGCTCCGGGGTGGAGCTAGAAAGACACACTTCTGGTCCTCAAATCTGGGGTGGGAGAGGAGGTAGAAGAGGAAGGAAAGATAGACATGCATAGAAACACCCCAAAACAGTAATAATAGCTAATATAGCTAATTATAGCCAGGAATTACTCTAAGCAATTTCAATATGCAAATTAGCTCACTTGATCTTCAGAAAACCCGTCAGAATCCTACAATTGCAGATGAGCAAACTGAGGCACAGAGAAGCCAGCTTCTCAGGGTCACCCAACAGAGTGTCTGGGACGGGATGGGACCTTTGTGGGGGTCCGGGGTAAAGGGTTTCGCGGAGTGAATAGGAGCGCAGAGGGGCGCGATTCTGAATTGTGGGAAGGTGACCCTCGAGTGGGGGAACTCTGAAAAACTCGGGGGAGGGGGACCCCCAAAAGCTGAAGAATTGAGGGCTGCTCTGGTCTAGACACTTAAGAAAGAGATCCCTAATGACGATCCGTTAGGGGGAGATCGGCCCGTCCAACCCAAATTTACAGACTGTAAGAAGTGCTCATAGTAGAGATGCAAATAAGGGGATATGGGGGGACGCCGGATACGGAGCGGTTAATTCAGAGGTTTCTTGGGGCTGGAAAAATCTTGACCAACAACCGATCTGTACCCGTGGGGACGCCAGGGGCTCGGGGGGTGGGGGGAGAAGCTCATGGAGAACGAGGATCCTCCGCCCCCTCCGGAGCCCCGGCCATCCCCGAGCTCCAGGCACCGCGGCCTAAGCCCCGGGGCTCACCGCTCCCGCGAGTCCAAGTCTCGCACGAGATCCGACAGTGGACGGGGGACAATAGGGCCGCACGCGCACCCTGCTGCCCCTTACCTGGGGGTCAGAGCGGTGGCGAGGGCTCGGAGCGGAGGATTCGCGGACTCTGGTCAGTCGACGCGAACAGCCTCCGGCGGGCGCGGGCGGAGGACGGAAGCCCAGAGGGAGCGGCTGACAGATCCCGGAAGTGGCCGGGGCGCTTGCGCAGAGTGGCGGCGCGGGCGTGCGGTATGCGCATGCGCGCGGCTCCGCGAGCCGTCGGGAGGGGTGGGGTCAGGCTGTGAGTGACGGGGGAGGATTCGACATCCGGACTCGTGCGCGACCGCCACTCGGAGGTGACGCCCTAAAGTCGCTTTCAAGGAGCAGATGTAGCAACTTGGGCGTCTTATTTTTTTTTTTTTTTCGTGGGCCGAGGTGTGAAGCCTCGGCAGTTTCTCAAGCGCGTTTGTCGGGGCAGGATTTATGGGGTCTTTTGGGGATCTCGTGGGCCTGAAGGGAGACGACGTTTTTGCCCTTTTACAGAGCTCGGGTCACAGCCACGCGACATGGGCGCGGCTTCCTGCCGGGTCCGCCATGCTCCCTTGGTGGAAAACCTGAGAATTATCCCCAATATTCCCCAATTATCCAAGACCCTCCTGGACCCTTCCTCCCCTTCATATTGGTCCCAGGTCCCAAGATGGCGCCACGGGAAAGAAACGTGGAGAGAAAGAGTCTGCTTGCCGTGCAGATGCAGCCCCAAGAACTGCCCTGGCCCCCACTTCCGGCCACACTGCTGCACTTGGACCTGCTCCCCAGATGTGAGATGACAGCTCTGCCCTAAAGGAAGTAATAACAGTTTATTCTCAGCCACATCCGAGTGACCAGGGCCCGGGAACTCGGAGTCAAGTTACCCCAATGACATGTTCCATTGTGGCAGAGGTTACAGTGATTTTTTTTTTTAATTTTTTTTTTCGGTACTGGGGTTTGAACTCAGGACCTTCACCTTGAGCCACTCCACCAATTCTTTTTTGTGATGGGTTTTTTCAAGATAGGGTCTCTTGAACTATTTGTCTAGGCTGGCTTTGAACCACGATCCTCCTGATGCCTGCCTCCTGAGTAGCTGGGATTACAGGCATGAGCCCCTGTGCCCAGCTTGTAGTGAATTTTTATAGTCACAGTGAAACCGGAGTTTTGGACCAAAGGCCCAAACTCCTGAGATTCCATATGCCAGGACAAGCCACCCACCCCTAAACGCCAAATAGTAAGAGGTCTCGTGGCCAGGGACCGGTGGCTCACACCTGTAATCCTAGCTAGGCCCTAAATTCAAGCCCCAGCACTGGGAAAAAAAAAAAAAGACATTGGTGAAGGCAGAGAAAAGTAGGTTTTAGTTACACGGCTCAGGACAGGCCATGGGAAGAGGCAGAGTAAGCACTGTCAAACCATCTTTGGGGTACAGACATGAGCTATAGATTTAAGTAGGTAAAGGAACTGGGGACGGGGGTCAAAGGTATGTACAGTTAAATAGGCCCAGTCACAGGGCTGGTCTGGTTGGTCTTGTGACTGGGGGAGCAGGAGGTCTGGTCCAGTTCTAGGAAGTTATCACCTGAAGGGGAGTAATCTGGTTCCTTTTGAGACGGTTACTCTGGCTTGGGATAACTGCCCTCACTGGGATGGTGGCAGCTGCAGGTGACTAGTTCCTTGTCATAAAGATGCTATCAGTTCTGTCCTTTCTAGAATCCAAGGTGACTGCAGAGTGATTGGAAAGAGAATGGCTTAGAGCAAAGGCAGATACAAAATGGAGGAGGGTTGCCAGGCTTTTCTCCTGCTATTAGTTAATTTGTGGGCCCAAGAAGGAGTCAGTGCTTTTCAGCAAAAGCAGTTTGAGCACCTGGTACAACAGGCCTGAAGAAAGTCAAAAATCAGTGCTGTTACCAGTGACATTGATGAAGAATCCTCTTCTGTAGGCTCAGAAGTTACAGCACTTCTTACCTTTAGGGTTGGTGAAGACCTGAAATCTGCTGATCTAGCGATACATTGCAAGAGGTTTACAGAACAGTCTTGAGAACGTCAGGTCAGATACTAAGATTAAGGTAACTGATTATTAAAGGGCCTAAACTAGCCCAAGATAACAGTCACAATGTACTAGTCAACCAAGTTCAAGTAGCCTGCAGGATGTTTAATATAGATGCAGCTTCAGAGTTCAGTTCACAGCTTCAATAATAATAGCAAAATTCCCAGCTGCAGACCCATGCTATGTTTTGGAGTTAAAGAATCCAAGTGCTCAGGTGGCTCACGCCTGTAATCCTAGCTACTCAGGAAGTAGAGATCAGGAGGACAGAGGTTCAAAGCCAGCCCAAGCAAATAGTTCGATAGACCCTATCTCAAAAATACGCAACACAAAAACAGCTGGTGGAGTAGCTCAAGTGGTATTGTGCCTGCCTTGCAAGTGTGAGGCCCTGAGTTCAAACCCTAGTACCAACCAAAAAACAAAAAATCAAAAAAGAATCCAGCTGCTCGTGGAGGATTAATGCACTGGACATCATTGGTTTTACTTTGTCCAATGGTTATGAAGTCTTTGGTCCTGGAGGAACAAGACAGATGGAATAGAAAGATAATTGTAAATGAAATACCCTGTCCAAGGATACTGGCAAAGGAAGGGCAGCCTCCGTGGAGAGCAAGGCTGCTTGGCTACACAACACAGTCCCCAAGTCTGTGGAGCTGGTATGGAGTCAAACGCCAGCATGTTTTTATTTAGATTCTACTTCTCTACAAAGAACAGCTCCTTAAGAGAATTTATAATTTGGGTAATCAGCATAATACACAAATTAGAACCAGACTGTCTATGCTAAGTGACAAGAAGTTATATCAGCAAAATAACAAGAATCTTTGTTAATCTCTGATTGTTTTGATTCTTGTCATTTTATATTTTACAAATCACTTTAGGCAGCAAAGCTAGTTTTACATGAAGCTCTATTAAACCACCTTGTTTTGCAACTGAGGAACAGCTAGAGTCTTCTGATGTAAGATAGCAGTAAGGCTGGCCTCCTACTCCAACCTTTCCCAATACGCCATCATGGCCTGGTATAAAAAGCCACTGAAGTTCCAAGGAAGGTGAGGGTGAGTTCCTTAGTATCTGCTTTTTAGACTTGTGAAATGACACTGATTTAAAATCCAAAATGAGGATTGTGCCTTTAAAAAAAATTAGTATCAAGAAAGGTAGTTGTATTAATCAGCTTTCTGTTACTGTAACAAAATACCAGAGACCATTAACTTATAAAGAGAAAGGGTCTGTTTTGGCTTACTGCTTTGGATGTTCCAGTCCAAGACTGGGTGGACCCATTGCTTTGGGTCTCTGATGGATGTGCTGGGTGGTAATTACTGAGAGAGTGTGTGGTGTAGCAGACTGCTTCCTCATGGCTAGGAGGCAAGAGAGAAAGAAGAATTGCATGATTCCCTTGTCCTGAGAGCAAACAAGGCAACAAAACCAGCTGGAATCAGTAAAGTGTCCTAGGGGGTAAAGCTGTCCTAAACACTGGGCTCACTCTCTTACATTCTCTTTGTTCTTGGCTGTTGATAGGTTTTACTACCTTATTCTGTCTCATCTTTGAGTAGACATTTTGCATATTCTATCTACTTTTCAAATGATCATCGGTGGGAGGATTGATTGTCTGTGACCCCAGCCCTCCATTACCAGAATTATCGGGTAAGTAACCCCTTTTTTTTATTGTTGTGCTGGGTGGGGGTACACTGTGGCATTTACTAAAGTTCTTACAGTATATCAAATATATCATACTTGAATTCACCCCTCCACCAGGCTCCTTCATCCCTCCCTCTCCCATTCCTGGAACAGTTTCAGCAGGTCTCATTTTTCCATTTACATACATGAGTACATAATATTCCCACCATATTCATCCTCCTACACCCTTTCCCACATCCTCCCCCCACTTTTTAATATTTGTCTATTTTAGTTTGCTAAATCCTATTACATTAATTATGTATCTTTTTGGTTTTTGTTTTGAAACAGGGTCTCTCTATGTTGTTCAGGCTCCCTCTGAACTCCTGGACTCAAGTGACCCTCCTCAGCCTGCCACCTTGCAATTATATATCTTTGGCACCTAGATATATAATTGTTTATTGTGGGTTTATTGTGGGTTAGAGGAAAGCTTATCAAACATAATCACTTTAGAGCTCATGAAGTGTTAAATAATTGGGTAGCTGGTATTTAAATGTTTGTATCAGGTTGTGTGTGGAGGGTTGTTTAGGAGGGTGTCAGTGATATTTGGAGAAGTTGGTTGGTTAGGAAAACATTCATTCCTCACTTGACTCATGTAACAAAGGCTCTTTTGGTCTGAGATTGCTCTCAGCATGGGTAACTGGGGTGACTGCAGCTCTAATGGTAGCGAATCCCTCTTGAGAGTGTGTGTTCTGGGCTTGCTTCTTAGATCATGTTCTCACACAAAAAAGAACGGGAAAGTCTAGTTGTCCCACACCTGGGCAGAGGTTAACCATTTCCGAGTGTGTCCAGGGATGAGTTTAAACTGCTGGCAAATCGAACGTCTAGTGATGGTTTCTGTAAGAACACTGAATGAAATACCTGATTTGCTCATAAGCATGATAATTCTTTCTGGGAATTTTTTTTTCCTTTTTAGTGGTACTGTGGTTTGAACCCAGGGCCTCATGCTTGCTAGGCAGGCACACTACTACTTGAGGCATTCCACTGCCCTTTTTGTGTGGGTATTTTTTTTTATTGTTTTATTATTCATATGTGCATACAAGGCTTGGGTCATTTCTCCTCCCTGCCCCCCCACCCCCTCCCTTACCACCCACTCCGCCCTCTCCCTCTCCCCCCAACCCCCTCGATACCCAGCAGAAACTATTTTCCCCTTATTTCTAATTTTGTTGAAGAGAGAGTATAAGGAATAATAGGAAGGAACAAGTGCTTTTGCTGGTTGAGATAAGGATAGCTATACAGGGCATTGACTCACATTGATTTCCTGTGCATGGGTGTTACCTTCTAGGTTAATTCTTCTTGATCTAACCTTTTCTCTAGTTCCTGGTCCCCTTCTCCTATTGGCCTCAGTTGCTTTTAAGGTATCTGCTTTAGTTTCTCTGCGTTAAGGGCAACAAATGCTAGCTAATTTTTTAGGTGTCTTACCTATCCTCACCCCTCCCTTGTATGCTCTCGCTTT